ACTTTATGCACAAGATCCTTCGGTGGGGCACATTCAATCACATTTGCCCGTCAGCAAAAGGAAAATCTCAGCTTTGCTTCTCTCTCAACACTCCAACTCCTCTGGCACTTTTTCGAATCGTTTTAAATCCAATCAATTGCTTTAAAATAAACCCTTGAACAAAATCAAAAGCAAAACCGTAACAACGACGGGTGCTGAATACTTTTCGTATTATCTCAAATGACAACACAGCCGCGTGAAGAAATGAAAACGAAAGAAAATCGTACAATTGGGGGACAAGGAAAGGCAGAGAAAAAAACAAAAACAAGTGCTCCAAAGCACAATGCAAAACAGTAAAAAACGAAAAAAAGAAAACAACCGAAAACCAGCAAATCTGTTAAGAAAAACCATTTAAATGGGCCACACAGCAAAGCCAGGACAATGCGAATGTGGTTTCCCACCCACACAGGTGCTAAGGAGGATTCATCCAAGGGAAAGACTTGTGGTCAAGTGCAAATCATGACCAGAATAGAGTCGGATTTGGGAGGATACTTAGAGACAATAAGGCGAACGTGAGGCCAATGATTACAGTATTTTTTCTTAATTGCCAGTAAAACGGGCTACATTTTTTTAACAATAGGGGTACGGTGTAGAATTTAAATTGATAATTACCTCCTAGGGTAATTTAATTTATAAGAATGCTGCCTATTTTTATACCAACATTGAAAGTATTGGCATTGAAAGTAAAAAATAGAAATTTAATTTCACTTTAGTAATAAGAAAATATTTTCTTGCTATTGAAAATTGCTAGAATCTCCATGTTTACACAAATTGGGTTATACTTTTCGGTTTCGCGCTGTGCTTTTTAAATTGATCCGATCCGAAAATAACTTGCACCATTGGTCAAAATTTATTTTATGCTAATGCGAAGTATCCCAAGCTCAGCTGAGCTCCAAATACCGTGTTTCATTTATGATATGAAAGGCCCCTCTGTAAATAACACATCATTTTTGAAGATTCCCGTAAAGTGAAGAAAATCCCTTGGCCATCCCTCCGTTTGTGGAAGGAAAGGTAAACAAGTTTTATTCCCCCAAATGCTGACTAACCGGCTTTGGATTAACATATGAAAGGGATAGTCATGTGAAGGATTTTATGCCTTTGAAAAGGATTGGATCCAAGTATGCCCACATCCTTAAGCAAGTGTGCAAGTGGATGAAATATTCACACATAATGTTGCAAAATTTATACTCCTGTCGTCCTTTGTAATGTCAGCCTCAGCTGCGGTTCGCATTTTGATAGTCAATATTGAATATTTATTTATTGTTATTTGAAAACATGCCGAACACTGCAAAATATGTATATTTTAATGTGTTTCATTGCTGTAAGGTATGAGTAATGGAAGTTCTTTCGAAAGGTTGGTTGTTTGTAAATTGACTTTGTAATGCGTTAGACATGTGAAAGAGAAGAGTCGCTGAATAATAAATTAAATCATCAAAGGAGAAAAGTTTAGATTTGAAATAATTTACCAAATGGTACAAAAAATGAAGATATAATTCTACTTATTTTTCAATTATTCACAATGAGTTCCACTTAAAAAAAAGGTCAGCATTAGCTAATATAGTTTTATTCGTATCGCTGGTTTTCAATGGGAGAACCTATGCAACTGTGCAATACACAATGGCCGGCCGAACATCACCGACATTATAATATTCTTAATAACGAAATGGGGAAATCTGGCGTAGCGTGGATAGGACAGGAAAGACGGGACACGTCAACCGTTTGACATCGGCAGCTGCGACAGCGTCACAGGAAGTTGGCCTTTTGCCTCCCTAAAAAGTTTGCTTGGCACTCAATTTGATGTTATTTTTTACTGCTAATTGTTTTTCAATTTATGTTGGAAATTTTGTTATGAACGTATTTTGTGATTACATGCTAAAGAGTTAATTTGCCTCCTATCTTTGACAACCTTAATTACTTAATGGTGTATCGAATTTCTGAGTTTAGTCTAAAGTCTCTTAGCCTTTGAGGGTATTTATTAAAGATTAATTTCCATTAATTATTCTCAATGTTATAAGGACGCACTCGTTTGTATATTTTATTTTTCTGAGCCTTGATTCGTTTTGAAACCATCAAGACATTAATCAAATGACTGCTCGAATTTGAGTATAAGAAGCTACTCTTCCCCTACTGATTATTGTGGGCCAGCAATTAGTCAATCAATTCTTGGTTGACATTGTGTTCACTTTAAAGTGATTTTCTTGACATTTATAATAAATCACCATGGCTCATTGTCTAACCATTACGATGAATATTACCACATTTACTACCTAATTAAAGTGATTGGATATGTCCCCAAAATAAAATTAGAATATTAAATGCTTTACATGGATGACTTTGTAAAGTTGAGTATGGTATGTTTAATATGGTAACAATTTATTTTTGAAAGCCTAGTACTCAAAAAGACAACGAAACGAATATTTCTATACCAAAATTAACTTAATTTAAATTCGTGAACTAAATGTATCGTAGGCTTCTCCATTGAAGTGACTACTAGATTCAAGCGTAAAATACTGTTCTATCTTTATTAAGGGCCTTTGTTATCAAATATTTTAAAATGTTTAGAATATTGCTAACTTTTAATTCAATAGGTAGATTTTTTCTTAAGAAGATTATTTTGACGATTTCTGATTTCGGAGAAATTTATAAATGCCTCCCAAATTGTTCAGTTAAATGGTCTTGACTTTGTTAAGACAAGAGAAAAAAAATCGCTGAAAAAAAATTAAATAGTCAAAGCGGAGAAGTTTCAATTTGAGACTATATTTATGATTTATTTTTAAATTGTGCGCGCTTAAAAATTGTTTCATTGGCACCAAAGGGTGCTGAAGAAGAAGGTAAGCTGTTACTTAATGCTTTCGAAATATAGAAAAACCAACCATGTTGAAAGTGACGAACTGAATAAACATACAACACAATGCAACATACGGATATAAAATTCGGAATTTAATACCATAATTAAAAAAGTTAGTTCTAATAAAAACAATATACCCTTTTAATCTTCTAGTAACGTCAATCAACTATTTATTTTTATTAAAATAACTTCAAGTCAAAAAGGTTTGCATTTTCGAACCCTTTTAAGTCACTTATTATTTTTTAACTCAAATCACTTACTTAAAATAAGTAGAAAGATGTTTTTATATATTTTCAATATTACAAAAAATAAATAACTTGGCACAGTTTTACGGAGTTACAACTCCAAAAAGGATTAACATTTGGTGTTTGATTAAGAATTCTCTCTCTCTTAAACATATAATCCGTGTATGTGTATTGTTTACCTCTGAAATAACAGCTCTATTCATCCAAAAGATTTACCTAGGGTAGATTTTAACTGTAGCTTTTCACACACTTTAATAAAGTTAAAGAAATAATATTTGCATCTATATTTCGTTGAACAACTTCACTCACAAAAGGGTTTCAGGACTCTTTTGATTTCTCAAGCTTCTTTTGATTAACTGCGTTTGGTCCTTACAATTTAAGTTTTAAGCGCGATCCAAAGAACTCGAACGCCGCGCGTTGACTGAAGCTAAGGCCGCAACGCAGCATCCTTAAATAGCGGCAGAATCTCCGGCAGCATCCGTTAGATGTTGTTGAAAAGCTCGGCTCCCACACGACACCAAGCTCAAAATGGCGAGTGTCCTGGCTAAAGCTCCTGATTTTGAATGCAACTGGGAAAGGATTGTTGTAAGGACGACCTTCTGCTGAAAGGGAAAATTCACCAAGAGAAAAACACCAGTTGCTGTGATTTGTTATGTTTATTGTTAAAGCGAAATTGTAACTCTCGCTTTTCATGCAAACGGGCTCCCATGTTTTGCATAAATATTTGAAGAAGCATTTGAAATCTTGAATTTTTTCCATCATTTTTCAACATTCAAGAAAATTAAAAATAAATATAACAGGTAAACTTAGCCTATACCTAAAATCCTAGTCTATTGTATAATTACTGTATAATATAGAAGAGTTATGTTTCTTGTCAAACTCCCCCTATATAAAATTATCCACTGAATATAGGATCTTTGCCAATTGCTTAAGTGCTACCCCATAGACTCAAAATTTGTATACAATTTTCTTTAGTGAGACGAATTAAAATTGGAAGAGCTTACAAATGTCGCGAATATTTGATGACTTTTTCACTGCCATTTCACCGATGATTAGGGGCGAAGGGGGAAGACCAGGTTGACTTTGCCATTTTCCGGAACGGTGACTTGAATTTCCAAAGAGTTTACATGCAGGCTCGTTCTCGTTGTAGTTGTAGTTCTTGGTGGTGGTGGATTTGATGGTTGTATATATACAGGTATACAATAGAGAGACAGAACATTAGTATATTCCTTTTCAATAATTTAAATAAGACAACAATCATTAAGCCTAAACCTTAAAACTAGTTTAAAAATGAAGTGATCAGAGGGCGTTAAAATGAGTAAAATAATCACAACGAAACAAATATGATTTCTCAGCACAAAGCTTTTGGGCTCTCGGAGTTTGGTGATCGCATCGGTTTTTGTTTGTCTGCATGTGTATTATTTCATGTTAGTTTTGCGAGTGTACCAGTTTAGTAGAGTTGTTAATCAAGAGGTTCGTGACCTCATTTAAAATCGATTCACTTTTTTATGTTCATTGGGAGGTCACGCACTTTAGGTTTCAGGTTGTTTTTGTAGTATTCAGACGAGTTTCGAGTTGGAAATCTTGTAGGATTTTGTTGGTCGAAAGAATATATAGACTGCTGCATTTTTAAACAAAAGGTAATGAAGACAAACGTTGACGAGATAAAAATGTTCCGGGAGCGGTGTACACTCAGCCAAAGTCGTATTAAGTTCCGACCTGGAAAATATTCCTGAATATCCTCTAAGGGAGCTTTATAAACGTTCCCACTTTTTCTGTTGTAAAATACAGTATCCATAGCGATATCCTTACAGAAATTCTGCAACTCCAGTGCTGAGAGTAAAAAAAATCCAGGGTATAGAATCACCTAGTTGATTCATCCAGAAATTCGGCGTCATGCAGGCTTCCATTCGACTTCCATTTTACTTCGAATCGATGTAGTTCCAGTTGCAGTACATGCTTGATGTAAATAGACGTATTATTCCTGTGATGCTTTTTAAATTATTTCTTCCGACGAATTATTTTCCTTGTAAAAATTGTATACCCTACGAAGAACTGTAGACTTAAAAGGTACTAAAAAAGCGAAGAATTCACAGGCCGGCCTATTCAGCGAAAATAGATGGCTTGAGAAGGGGAGTAAAGAAAGTCCTAACTGTGTAACGAAAGGGGATCGCGACCTACAAAAATATTTACAAGTGATGTTAGAACGGGCCAGAGAAGTGCATCCGCAGTCCGACAAGGGACACTAATATCCGCAAATTCGGAAATCAGGTACAAAATCGAATAGTGCCTATCAGCAAGTAATGTGCTTTCTGTAAAAATCGCCTTAAATGGCAATGGCAGCTGCGTTTTTACAATCAACTTGCGCACCATTGGCAGCGTAGGGCAAACTGAAGGTGTCGAGCCATTCTTTGCATTTTTCGGCGCTCTCAAAGGCTAGAATATTGGTTATATAGTCAACGCTGATGTTGGGACGATAACTGAAAGATATGATAATTATAAGTAACAATTGTCAACATGTAGAAAGAAATGCTCAACTCACGATTTAATCATGACTCGCAAAGCGGCCTTGCGCTCTCTCTCCAGGAACCACTCAATCATGTGACCGGACATAAGAGGCGCTGTCTTGTACAGAGAAAACAGTTTGCAGTAGTTTCCAAGCGACCACGCAGAACGGAACTGAAGGGCGTGTGCAATGGCAGGAGTCTCGCGTTGATCAGCCGTAATTGAACGCAGGACAGTGGTTATGTCTGAATTAAAAAAAAAAAGGCGTTAATATTAACAGAGGAAAAATAGAGATTTTAAACCTACCCAAGGTATTCTTTGTGAATATGTAGTAGAGTATACGATAGGCTGTAAATTCCAAGGCATTTGCGCTCTTGCCTCCGATCTCCATGTACAGCATCTTCAGTTGAGTCTGGCACTGGTTGAACTCCTCGTGGTCACCCTTCTCCATGGCAATTCGAGCGTGCGTCTCATACACCTCCACCGTAAACTGATCACGAATACCTTGGACCTGTAGAAAAAATAATGTTGCACTTATTGTTCTTCCCAAGATATCGCCACTTACAGTCAGATCCTGTCTAATGGACTTCAGCTGATCACACGCATAGTGGTAGTCCTGATTGGCACGCCATTTTTCCTTTACATTTACCAGTGAGTGGGTGAGCACCTCGACAGGCCGCACCTCCGACGGCGAGGGCGCCTTGGTGAGACGCAAAAACGATTTCTCTAGGTCCCTACAAGTGCCTACAATATGCAAATCGAGAAGATCTAAGCCGCCAGCCGCCTCTGTGTCCTCGTAGAAGGCAGAACGATGGTGCTGCTGCTGCTGCTGCATCATTTTTTTCTTGTTCTTGGCCGTGGTGAGACCAAACGGTGAGCTTGCAATGGCGACGACAGATTTCTTGGCCGAGCTGGAGCCCTGCTGCGAAAATCGTGCCGCACGCTGTTGCAAGCGCGCTGTGTCATCATCAACAGCTCCGCCAACGGACGACTGGTTGGAGTAGAAGTGAGGCGGCTTCTTTTTCGCCTGACCGGAGCCAGCGGCTGCTGCTGCAGCTGCGCGCTTGCCCTTTTTCATCAGCATTTTCTGCTGCTTGCGGGATAAGTTCGCGGAGGCGAGTGGTATGAAATTCAGGGATTCGTTCGAGCCCGATTTGCGGATAACCTTACGCGCCGGGGGACTGCTGGCATCGCTGCTGCGGGAGCACGATCGGGAGCGGGGGGATCGCGAGCGGGAACGCGAACGGGAGCGCGATCGCGATCGCGAGTACCGCTTCTTGCTCGAGTACTTCAACGAGTTTGACGATGAGGGCGAACTGCAAAGGGTGAAAGAACTGGTTTAGTTTTCAAGTTTAGCTTGGCATAAGGAAACGCCTGAACTTACCGCGAACGACTCCTGGAATATCGCGATGTCGAAGAGTGGTGATGAGAGCCGTAGCCGGACGAGGACTTGTTAAACTGATTGCCCTTCTGCTTGAACTGATTCACTGCACCCGAGGAGCCCTTGGTCGGGGCCTTCTCCGGCTCGCGGTCTCTCTCCCGCTCCCTCTCCTGCTCCAGCTTCTTCTGGAAGTAGTTGCTACGCTGCGGCTGCGGGGGCGTCACATTGCTCAGCACCACATCGATGCCGTCCCGCTCGCTGTGCACCGTGGGCATGGGCTCGTTGTCCCAGTCCCGCGTCCACAGCTCGTTGCGATTGGCCGCCGCAATAATCTTGCCCTTCAGGCAAATGTCAATCTGATCCTTGTCGAGGTCCGTGTTGCACTTCGAGTAGCAACGGGCCACATACTGATTGAGGGCATCCGGCCAGGAGTCGTTGGAGGCCATTTGAAAGCTGTTGGGCCGCTTGAATGTGGATGCCTGCGCTGGAGCAGGGGAAGCGGTCTGTTGTTGCGACTGCTGTTGCTGCTGGGGATTCTCTGTGGGAGCCACTATGGCCAGTGGCAATGGCGGCGGTGGCTTGCTCAAGTCCGCAGTGATCGGCACGCCGACATCGCTGGCGCTAATGATGGGCGGCGGTGGTGCTATGGGCGTGGCTTGGGCTTGATTGGCAAACGGATTGTTTATGTTGTTTGTATATGTTGTTTGTTCGAAGCTCTTGTTTTTGTTGTTACGCTTGCGCTTCTTTTTGTTGCTGTTGTTATTGTTGTTGTTGTTATTGTACATTTGCATGACCTGTTGCTGCTGTAGATGTTGCTGTTGCTGTTGATGCTGCTGTTGAAGTTGCTGCTGCTGTTGTTGTAGGGGATTGGGGGCACCAGCCAAACGCTTTTGGTTTAAATTCAAATTAAAACGTATTCCCCCGAAATTCTTTTGTTGTTGCTGCTGCTGCTGTTGTTGCTGCTTGTTTTGGCCCGCTGTTTGGCCGGGTTTCGGCGGCGGCGGGGGTGGCGGACCCGAGGGGAGGGGCGGCGGCACCGCCAGCGCGTTGCTGAAGCCCGGAGGCGCGTTCGACGCACTGACCGTCGAGGTTACCTGCTGTTGCTGCTGCTGCTGGTAGCGCATGTAGTACTGGTAGTACTGCTGATACTGCTGCTGGTAGGCGGCGTTTTGGTTGGCATACCACGCGTAGTTACTCCACTGCTGGGCGAGATTGCCGGGATTACCGCCCTGCTGCTGCTGCTGTTGTTGCTGCTGCATCTCCTGCAGTTGCGGAATCAGGGGCGGCGGAGCACTCATGGCCTCCGACATGGTACTCCTCCTCACGCTCTTTCGCTAAAGGTGGCCTTTGATTTTTTTTACCTGAACTTACCTTTGGGTTTCGCTATTTCAGCCCCTGATTTCGAGACAAAGGGTACGAAAATGTGGAAAATGTGGTCATTAGTATGTGTGCGTGTGTGCAATGGTATGTGACGCCATTTTTATTTCTTACCTACTTTGGCCTCCGAGAACTGGCAATTTTCGCTTCAATTTGCGCGTTTCAAACACCGTCTGCGCTACAATTACCAAGTAAAACGGTCGGGCAATGCAAATATCTGCCTGCATTCGCACGAAAACACTCGGAAAACGCTACTTTTAGCCAGATTTCAACACGATATCTAAACACGTCTGGATCTATTCACTTTTTTTTCGTATGAAGAAAACGAGACAGAATAATCGATGATAGGTCTGTCAAAGAATTCGGTGTGACCGTTGCGTGCAAAAATCCGTCTTTCAAAGCGACCACACTAAATTTAATAATTGGGGTATTCCATATACCGCTGAATCTTTAAATTTTAAAAATATTGAAAAAAAAATAAAAACGCATATTACCACAAATAAAAAAATTGATAATTTTAATTGTAATTATTCAAAAATTCCTAACAAATAAGGGAACCTTTTGTGATGATTTACTTATTAATCTATCATTTACTATTTTTTGGATAACTTTAATTAAAGGCAGTTAAAAAGCATTCGGAAAAAACGACTTCAGACCTTGAAAACCCATCGGTTTTTATATTGTGTAGTGTATCTAATGACAATTTACTTTCGAAGAATATTTTAACAAATTTATTCACTTTTGCATCTTCTTGAGCCTTAGCTCCTAACATGATGCATTTTAGTTGTCCTTAAAATTATGATAAGAAAAATGAGCACTATAGCTCCCCAACAATAACAATTTTCCATACAATTAAAATATACCAATTGTGTTTTATCACAGATATGTTTGATATAACCCTTTTACAGTTTTGTTTTTTGTTTAGCAGTGAAACTCCCAGGAAACGCCTATTCTATGAGCCCCACCAATAGGGTCTACGCCATCGAAAGCCACGTGATACATGACGTCAATATTTTCTCCGATTTTCGTTTGGTACACAAACCCTGTTCTTGAGTCTTCCCGCACTTTCGCCTTTACCAGCGTTCCGTTCTGGAAGTCGTACTGAACGCCAATCGCAAACTGTTTGATATTTTCCGAACTGTAAAGGTTCGACTTTATAGCAAAGGCCCAGCCTTCTCCAATCCGTTGAAAAATCGATCCTCGCAGGTCCTCAAAATTCTCGCTACAAGTAGAGTATTAGTAAAGTCATAAAGTCCTCGACTGGACATAGGAGAACCTACAGTTTCAGACCCACTTCGGTCCTCCCGTTGTTATAGCCCAAGCATAAGACGTGCCTATCGAAACCCTTGTTATCTAAATTGTAAGCTGCACGGTATCCTAGAAGCCAATTCTCGACCGGCGCAACGATGACATAGCCCAAGAAAAGTGGTTCCTTATAAAGGGGCAACACCAGTTCCACTTTAACAGGATTACGCTCGAAGCCGCACTTCAGTTTTGTTTTAAAAGTTATTCTGTAAAGTAAATCAGTAAGAGACCTTGGTCAAGTGAACTTTTAAAACGGGTTTTTGTGTTTTTAGATCTACGTATTTGGATCCAAGTGATTAGCTATCGGATTTTAGGTGAATTCGTTTTTTTTAAATATGATTTAAATCCACATTTGATTGGTTAAAATTTTTTTACAAAAATCTCAATTAGGTTTTGCCTAAATCTAATTATAACTTAATAAATAAAATTTGTAACCAATCAAATGTGGTTTTAAATCGTATTAAAAAAATCGATTTTACCTAAAATCCGACGTGTAGTTATCATATTACATTTTTAAGGAAACATCTATAACATTTTTTAAGAATGAAGCTAGTTTGAAGACGAAGTTTTGAAACACTCACTCGTCTTTTGTGCCAATTGTCGACTTCAGGAGCGCATACCACTGACTACCCATATTCATGCCATGCACTCCAATCTCCGACAAAACTTCATGGTTGGTAAACCAGCCAAGGGACATATTGTAGTTGTCGATCTCCTTGAACACCTCCAGTCCCCCAAAGACGGAATCCATGGTCGGATATCCCTCGCCGAAGGTGCTCAGATAGAAGTCCTTGTCCGTCCTCGTAATGCACTCCATCTTCCAGGCGCCGATCTTAAATCCGTTGACGAGGAGCTCCTTGGCCAAGACGCCCACGTGGAAGTAGGAGGGCATTTCGCCCTCTTCCGGTGGATTGGGTATTATCTCCATTTCAAACTTCTTATTGGATTCCTCAGCTTCTTCCTGCTTAGCTGGTTCTTCCTCTTCTTTGTTCTCTTCGTCCTTGGGATAGGTGGTTTGTCGGTTACGCTTTTTGTTTCGGCGAAACAAGCTGCGCAGTCTTTCCTTTGCTTTTGGCATTGATAAGAACTTAAAAAATCGCAAATAATTAGGAAAAAAATTTAAAATTTTGGTCGAAAAAAAAAAGATATGACACTGGAAACAACAACTACTGGTGTAGTCAAAAATTGCGTTTGCTTAAAGATTTTGAAATCAGAGAGTTTTGAAATTAAACTAAACTAATTTCAGATATTTTCGTATTTTATATTTTACTTGCAAAAGACCACAAACACCAATTTAGAGCCTACATATTAAAGTACCAGGATGCGCCGAACTTATGCTTTCCATTAATTGGATATTTTCCTTCAAAACAAAAGTGAAGCAAAACTTCAATGTCCTCACGAAGTTTCCGTTGAAAGACAAAACCAAGGCGGGTGTCCCCTCGCACTTTTGCCTTTATCGAAGTTCCAGGTTCCAACTCGTACTGGCCCCCAATGTGCACACTCTTGGCATTAACGTTTCCATAAAGGTTCGCCTTTAAGGCCAAGGCCCACTTTTCCCCAATGCGCTGAAATATAGATCCTCGAATTGTCTCGAAGTTCTCACTAAAATATTGGGATGTAAATCAGTGAAATATTATGAAGTCGAATGTGACCTACAGTTTCAGTCCTACTTCTGTGGAACCACTGCTATAGCCCATGCAAAGGGCATGCATGCTGAATTTCTTATCTTCCACATTGAATACTGTGCGGTAACCTAACAGGTAATTTTTGGCAGGCTCAGCCAGAATGTAGCCCATAAAGAGGGGATCCTTGTAAATGGGGACATACAGCTCCACTTTCGCGGGATTTCGTTCGAAAGCGCACTTCACCTTGCATTGATACTCACATCTGAAAAGGTTTAAAATTGAGACATCTATCAGTCATCTACATGAGCTCTTAATTTAAAGTTTACTTTGGATATGATACTGTGGAAACGGGACTTATTTTTGAAAGCTCTTTTACGGGGGAGTTACAGAAATCTACTCCAACCAAAGCCGGTTGGTTTTGTGCATTCATGTACTTAAAAAACATAACGGATTTAGGTTGGTAAAATTTTTGTGAAACCCCTGATTTCGACTTTAATGTCAATTGTAATGATATGATCTTTAAAAAAAGCACTAGTCATTCTTCATTGACTAAGTCAAAAACCCAACCACTTTATTTTAGCGATCCTGTGATTTGAATCCTACTCACCCTTCACTCGTGCCGAGCATAGACTTTACGACGGAGGACCACATACCTCCCAGGACGTCTCCACGTGCTCCAAGGTCGGACAGCAAGTATCCGTCGGTCAGCCAGGCTAGGGATACGTGAAAGTTCCCCTCTTCTTTGTAGGCCTCCAGTCCTCCGTAGACAGAGTTCCAGGTCGGATAGCCCTCACCGAAGCTGCTCAGGAAGAAGTCCTTCTCGGTTTTCGAGGTGCTCTGCAGCTTCCAAAGGCCGTTCGAGTAGCCGTGGATGAGGCACATCTTCGCCAGGAGCCCCACATGGAAGTAGGTGGGCATCTCGCCCTCCATCGGCGGAGGAGGCAGGATCTCCACTCGATTCTCCTTCTTGGCCTCATCCTCGTTGCTGCTGTTCTGGGCATCACCACCGCTATTATCAGTGGCCTCACTCTCTACGTGCTCCGATGCCAGACGTTTCCGCTTGTTCCTCCTGAACAAGTTTCGAATCCTGTTTCTCATGGGCATTGTGCAATATCATACAATATCATTCAACTCGGAGTTTTATTAATTTGGAATTTTGGGGCCGCTAAATATCTGACAAAACGATCAAAGCAGCTACGATCGAAACACCGAGAGAACTGTTTTTCCTATATGAATATGCAAATGTCAAGAATTTGGAACAGATATATAACAGGGACATTGCTCATTAATAAAATAATGAAATCTATAAAAACCTTTTCTAAATCGACCCTATATGTCTTAAAAAAGAATGCATCTTTGTTATGATGAAAAAGTAAATATATTTTTCGTTTGAATAAAGTTAAACCAATTTGGAAATTGAAATCGTTGAGTGGGTGCCGTCAAAGCTCCATCAGCACTGGAGGGCCACGCCCACGCCGAATCGGTGGTTTCCATCCTTGAAGTTGTTGCAATCCAGCACGGCGGAAATGGAGGCGGTGATGCCCTCGCGCAGCTTCTGCTCGTATCCCAAGCCCAGCTCTACCACGTTGTTGATCTTGGCGCGAATGAGGGCATCTTCCTCCAGGTGGTAGATCATGCCCAGGTTAACGACGACATCTCCGCCACCGCCTTCCGCTTGACCCTCGGGCGCCCCTTCGGCAGCAGCTCCACCACCGCCTCCGCCGGCCTTGGTGACCTCGACCCCGGCATCGATCTTCTCGTTCGCCTTGTAAAAGAGCGAGGCCAGCCAGGTGTCTCCGTTCTTCCTGCAAAATGTGGGGTATGGTTTGAGCAAAACCTCTGTTATCTTCCCTACCCTTTGGCACTTACAACTCGCCATGGAGGGTCGCTGTTTCGTTGGACCAGCCCAGGGCAACTTTCCAGCCTTTGAATTCGGTGTTACCAACATCGAACTCGGTGCCCACTCCGCCCAGGAACTCCTTGTGGCCCACAACCAGCGAGCAGTTCAATATCGGTTCCGAGTTTAGCCCAATGTCGGCCAGGAAGTTGAAATTCTCCTGGGCAAAGCCCATCTTGAACTTCCCATCCGCCGCGCTGTTGGCAGAATTGGTTAAATTGAGTTTGTTGTTAATATTTCAATAATTATTAAAAATCAAACTAATGAAGTTATTAAAAAAAAACAAGAGAGAACGCTATAGTCGGGTATGTGTCCCGACTATTTAATACCCGTCACTCGGCTAAAGGGAGTGCGAGGGAGATGGATATATACAATTTTTTGATTGCGTATAACTTTTTAATGAATGGTCCGATTTAAAAAATCTACATATGTATAGGTATAAATACACACAACAAAATTGCATTTATACTTCTCGGAAATCCTTAAAGGTGTGGGCGCCAGACACATTTTAAAATCGTTAGTGGGCGATTGTGGGCATTAGAGGGGGCGTGGCGCTCGGCTGAAATAAACTTGCGCTGCGTAGGAACCCCAAGAATAGGTGTGGAAAATCTCACCCTTCTAGCTCTTGTAGTTTCTGAGATCTCAGCGTTCATATGGACAGACAGACAAAGAGAAGGACAGACGGACATGGCTATATCAACTCGGCCAGTGACCCTGATCAAGAATATATATACTTTATAGGTTCGGAAACGCTTCCTTCTCCCTGTTACATACTTTTGCACGAATACAATATACCCTTTTACTCTACGAGTAACGGGGTATAACTATAAGATTCCATTAAATTGGATATAACCCCCGTACGCACTTTGATCCCGGCTGGAACTTTGCTTCCAAGGCTAGCATCAGACCCTCGGCCAACTTATCCCGATGCATTATCTCGCCGAAGAGCCAGTTCTCCGTGTTCCATCTCTCGGTGAGGGTCAGGCCCTGGTCCTCGATTTTGTACTTGCTCTGCAGGGAGCCGGACACCTTGCTGTTGTCCTGGCTGGCGAAGCCCGTGGTGAAGAACTCTATGCCCGAATTGGTCAGAGTCTTGCAGTCGATCTGCCAGATTCCCGGATGGTAGCCGCGCCTGAAAAGATCGCGGGCCAGCTTGCCCAGATCGGGATATGTCGGCGTTGGAGCCATTATGGGCGGAATGAAAAGGTGGTATGGTATATAGGGCCCGACTGATTTCGAAATTTTTTTCTCTACGCTTTAACAGCCTCGATTAGCCGAAAATTTGTATCTAATGCTGCCTGATCAGTATCGAGTTTTACACAGGCTACACCCCTTTGAACTAAAATGCATGGCGTCCTCTGCCTACGACCCACAATTACATTATTTTCGAGACTTTGTATTTTATCAACCATTCAAATATTCAAAGTTCTGACCACATTTCGTTGAAATGAATTTGTTCAAATCTTTCGAATCAAGCCGGTTTATCAACCCTGCAACCAGGGCATTTTCTTCTCAAATTTATTTCTCATGTAAATCGACAACGAAAAGTAAAAGATTGTTAATGATAATGTGGATTCGGGGTTGTGTTTAAAAAGGTCCTAGCAAACGAAAAAATGCAATGCCTTTTGAGCCGTAATATTCCTTTTCAATATTTTTTTTAATAGGTAAATGTATTTACTGTACTTTTGCCAACAACAAATTTGCTAATTTTCAATGCACTAATCAAAGCTACATCCAACGACGAAGGACCGACCGACCAAGCGATTGACCCACCCACCCCTTGCATCGTTTGCTGGCAGTGTCTCTTCTGCAGATTCGGGTGGCTGGGGCAGGGAGTGGGCGGATGTGGTGGTGGCCGGCTGGCCGGGTGACAACTGATCCAATCGAATCGTTAAGATGTGCAGATTCTCTTTATATTTGACTGTGTGTTGTTATTTTCTGAAGAATATCTTTTCTTTTATTTTGTTTGTTCTTGTTGTTTCTGCACTTGTCTGGCTGTTGTTGTTCTGTTGTTGGGCGTGTGGGGATGTTAGACAACGTTCAAGGACTCCACGACTGGCGGGATATCGTCGACTTAGGCCTCCAGCTCCAGACCAACACCGATCTTGTGGCCGCCGGCATTGAAGTTCTTGCCATCGACCAGCGTGGACAGGGTCAGGGTGACTCCGTCGCGCAGCTTCTGCTGGTATCCCAGACCCACCTGGCTGGCGTTGTTGACCTTGGCGCGCACGCTGGCATCGTCATCCAGCTGATACTTGGCGCCGATGGCGAACTTGGTGTTGCTGGTGCCGCTGGCCCACGACAGCTGCACACCCACGTCCAGCTTGTCCGAAGTGCGTTGGAAGATCGAGCCGCTGAACTCCTGGCCGTCGTTGCTAATTCGGAAAACGAAACCATTAATATGGGGTTTATTTAAAACCAGCAGCCCAGCAGTAATACTCACACAGCTGTGTGCAAGACAAAGTCCTTGGTGGTGTAGCCAAGGGCAAAGTTGTTGGTGGTCAGCTTGGACTGTTGTGTGTCAAATGCGGTCTGGTAGCCGGCCAACCATCCCTGGTAGCCCAGCACGGCAGAAGCATTGATCAAGGGGCCCTTCAGATCAATGTTCACATCCGAATCGGCCTTGACGTTCTCATGTCCGTAGGCCACCTTGAACTTGCCGTTCTTGTTGCTGTTGGAGGAGGGAAATTAAATACATTAGTGATCTGATGAAATAAAGAGTGAAAGACTAAACGCACTTTTAAATTATTTACTCCAATATTCATTTTCGTTAGACTTTATGTTTTAACATAAGTCACGGTTGCTAGATTTGGCTCTTTTGAGCTCTGGCTCTTTGGCCCACTTTTATTGAATTTGGCACTTTTTTGCTTATAGCGATAAAAACATATTTTAAACTTGAAAAATACGAATTCATTATTGTATTAATGCATTTTTTTTTTGCAATTTTAAAAATGATCAATGTCTGAAACCTAAAAGTGCCAGATTGAAACTAAATTGTTCCGTTGGTATGGTAATTTGGTATATGATAAAAATTTGGTTCTTTTTAATTCAAATTGGCTAATTTTTAATCTTTTTTTGGCTCATAAAAAATGTTTGAAGCAACAGTGACATAAGTATTAAGTTATTTTAAGGTAAGCTATTAATTTAAATATTTTTACCAATGCCCTGGGTTTATTAAGTTAAAGGACTCACCCAGACTGGGGGGCGAAGTTGCCCTCCAGGGACAGCTTCAGACCCTCGAGCAGCTGATCCTGGACAGCGACCTCGGTGAACAGCGTGTTGTCTGTGTTCCACTTCTCAGTCAGGGTCAGGCCGTAGTCCTTGACCTTGTACTTGGTCTCCAGGGAGCCGAAGACCTTGCCGGACTCCTGGTTGGAGTGTCCGGCTGTGTTGAACTCGATGCCCGACGAGGTCTTGGTCTTCAGATCGAGCTTCCACAGGCCGAAGTTGTAGCCTTTGCTGAAGACATCGCGAGCCTGCTTGCCCAAATCGCTGTATGATGGAGGAGCCATCTGGAATGGAATGGATTTTAACGCGCCGCCAATTAGCTGGTGAATAATCGATATTCGTGACGAAGGGGGTATTTATTGCGAAATCATTTCACTCGCCAGGTCAAATATTGCGCGTTACGAACGATAAGTTTTATGGACGGGGGCTGGTTTAATCTTATCAGCAACATGATGATAATTACTTTCTGTCTAACGTTATTTAGAAGTGTTCTATCTGCCGGAAAAGAAAAGTGAAAACTAAAACTAGGGGTAGCAAAAAAAAACAGCATCAACACGGGCAAAGAATTTTTCGGGCCATTTCCGCTTTTCACTTTGGCTAAATGTCAATTTTTGCGGCGAAAATAAATAAATCAATTTAAATTAGTGTTCAAGGCAGCCAGAGGTACGTTCTGTACCAACCGAGGCAGGGAAATTACTCGTGACTGAGAGAGGGGGTCAATGCTCGTCTGGGGCAAAAGAAAGTGACGAGGAAAAGTGGAAAAATAGAATTAGCGAAGGAACTTCCAATCGTACCCATTGATCGGGGATACTCAGTGTGAGAAATAACTTTGATGGATTTTTAGTTTTTCAATTATATACTAGAATAAATAAATAATTAGAACAGAATTCTAAAAAATGATTTAATTATTACTGAAACCTAAAGGGGTTTTCAAAATAAACATATTATTTCTTTCGTATCTAGGCTAGACTATATTTCTACACCCCCAACTCTAAAGGCGTAAAGGTTTATTTTTTGTGTAACTCTT